TTTTCCGAGTCATTTTCTAAAACAGAAACGGCTTTATCTTTCTTCTTCCTGCTAGACTATGCTTCTGGTACCTGTTCAATGCCTGGACAAGACTTTCTTTTACCTTATCTTTTGCCCAGTCATGTAAAATATTATCTAAATTCTCAAAACTGTCCACCATTTTAAAACACAGAGGGAAAAACTTTGTAATGATGACGTCAATCGTACGTCTGTCCTCTGATAGATCATAGGCGAGAACCAATCAAAATGTGAGAATAACTTGGGTTATTATATAATATAAGAATAGTTCATGATCATGACATCATCATTAGTGGTGGTTGGCAATAGATTTATGACGTACCAACTTGATTGGTTGGGCCATGTGTACTAAAGGCGTCCACATTTGAGTGTTGAACAATACTCGCAATCGACCTGCGATGGGCACTTGATCAACATCTCAATTGACACTCTTTTGACATGTGATCAACAGTGGGTTGATAGTTGGCTGACTGTCGACCGTCTCAAATACATCAATCAGAAATTAGTTGACTTAACTGATTGTCAGTAGTGGCGTAAGTGATGTTAGTATTGTAAGTAATGTAAGTATTGTAGGTAATGTTAGTATTGTAAGTCTTAGTAGTGTAAGTAATGTTAGTATTGTATGCAATAGTAGAAAAAAAAAAAAAAAAACTTAACTGATTGTTGAGCAAGATGTCAATGGAGTGTCAGTTGAGTGTCAACCGAGGCATTTATGGAGTGTCAGTCAAGTATTGATTGAGGGTTGATCAAGGCTATCGTTCAAGGATTTTGATCAAGAGTATCGATCAAGGGTATTGATCAACACTTGACCCTGGATGCCTTTAGTACACATGATCTGATCATTCTTATTATACCTTACAAACATATGAATTAATCTTTTCCACAATTTGCAGCTATAATGTCAGTAGCATACATGACTTGTATCACAGATGAGAAGGAGACTTCCCTGGGATAGGTCACAATTACTACTGGCTGAAACCAGTGACCAGTGATGGTATTTGAGAACAAGTCTTGAAATTGAATCCTGTGTTGGAAAAATGATGGCAATTGTACATTTTACTAATTATTTAAACATTTACAGTTTAGTTTGAACAGTTAAACCTTGATCTTGACAGGATTTAGCAGAATGGAGGAGATGTCAAGGAAAGGCTGGTTTCTATGGAATATTGTCAGTTGTCATAGGTAAGCACATGTTAGCACGAATGCAATGGAATTTGTATACCTAATTTTTTATTACCACACCTGTTATGTCATGAATTCCAGTATCAAAAAGCTGGTTACCTGGGGTAGTTAGCTATTGGAATAATAGGTGGATTTTTGAATAATAGGTGGTGTAGATAGACACTGCAGATAACGAATGCCACAATTCGAATGCACAAGTTTAATCATTGTACGCAAAAGCACATGAGAGTGAGTGAGTTCACGAGTACATGATTCAACTGAAAAGTAAACAAGACAAAATCCCTAGTAAATACAAAAATGTAACCACAAAAACTGATAGCGGACTAAAATGAACTTACAAACTGTGGCAAGTCCAACAGGATTAAACTCTTCAGAGTAATAACTCAGAAGCTCACAACATGTGAAAGTATGCTAGCCAAAACGCAGTAGATACTGGAGAAACTTAACTGCCAGCCACCAACAAGCACTGAGGAAAACTGAATACCAAACCATGCATAATGATGATAAGTAAGGTACTAATGAGGAGATTACGTAATACCCAAAGGTAACGCAAAAATGTGAAATAAAAACAAAGAAAATTCTAGTTACTACAGGTGGGCATGTACAGATAAATTAATTTCCTCCAAGTTCAAGTTTTTCTTGGCATGTTTAACTTGGTATAGTTATTCATCTGAAATATGCAAGACAGAACTAGATGTCACTCCAAGGAATCTGTCTTCATATCACAAACTAAATTTTCTAATTTTATGTGTTCAAACTGAATTTTTCTTGGTGGCTTTAATCCTTGTAAGACACTGTTGGTAGTTTTGTTCACATAATGATAATGATTTAGTGTTTATGATTTGTAAGAAAGAAACATCACACGCGTATATGTGACTGAAATACAATTTACGTAAAAAATACAATTTAGGATTCTCCTACTTCTGGCTTACCCTGGTTAAATCTGTTTATATTATTATTATTATTATTATTATTATTATTATTATTATTATTATTATTTATGAAATTTTAAGAGGTATTTTTCCATAAAAGTTGCTTTAATCATTCTGTTCCTACTTTTGGGTAGGTGGAACCATGAGGAAATCTCCCTCTTTTGAGGAGGGGGGTGGGGTGGGTTGGGTACAGGGTTGTTACAGAGTTTTGAGGTAGATTGCTGTTCTGTTGGAGTTGGCTAATTCTGAACAATCACAATAAGCCAGCAGAGTTGCTAGGAGATGATGCTATTTTTGACAACCCTGTGATAATTAGTTATATAGAACTTTAGCAGTGCTGCTGTGTATGCTGTTGTTAAATGGGATCCTATCTCTTTCCTTGATAAAATATTAATGAAGAACAGCTTTACAAGGTACTTTCCTTGTGAGGCAGAGCCATAGGCATAAGGGCACCTTCGGACTTAGGAGGGCGGTGACCTTATCGCCCCCAAAAAATTACCCAATGCCTAAAAACGTGAGTGTTGTGCGAATGCACTCAAATTGCAGTAAAAAGAAAACGTTCACAATTCTCAGGTCTAATGAAACTATTATCATTCAGAAAATACGGTATTTCCCGGGAAAGGAAAATTGGTTTGAAAAATCAGGTAGTTTGAGAAATTGAGGGTAAAATTACAGTGTTTGACTGCAGGGAGAAAAAGGACTTTTGGTTTGAGTTATCAGGAGGTTTGAAAAAATGAGGGTTTGAGAAATCGGGATTCCACTGTAGTTATTTTGAAACCTCGCATACTCTATGACCTCAATTGACAGCTTGGTAGATCAGAAACTTATCAAAGAAATAGTTAATTCTTCCTCGCACGAGAAGTTCAAGAAAATTTTAAAACAGTACTTTGCAGAGCCATTCAAAACGACTGTTTTCAGAGCCACCACAAAAAACAGAAGCCTTGGTCTTCATTTGCTTTGATTCTTTTGTCATTGTTTTGTTGATGGAAATAATATCCATCTCGTAGATTTCCATGACACACATTTAAATGATATATGGCTTTTCCAAAACAGAATGCCTGGATCCTTAGATCATGTGACCTTATCTGCATTTTGACAAGGCAAACGTCAGAGAAAGTAGCCTACAAGCCTGGCCTTGAACTACCTTTTAGAATGTTTTGTCCTCAGTACTTTTGCCTGAATCATCAGCGTTTTGCTCAAAAGTTTCAAAAATTTCTGAAACTGGGGGGGCTGCAGCCCTCCCCCTCAGCCCCCTGGCCTGTACGCCTATGGGCAGAGCCTCAAACTTCCAATATCTATGAAGACACAGCGATATTATCAGTGAGTAACAGAGCTTGCAAAGCTGATCCAAAATTCATACACCTTGTAATTTACATGTTTTATGTTTGTTCCTTTCCATAGGAAGTGGTGTGACATTTGTTGGACTTTCATTTTTTAATCAAGTACCCAAGAAGTACATTCCACTTCTCTCTCTTGGTGTGTAACAATTAACATAGAATGGTGATGAGTCGGATACTTGACCCATGTCTGAGTATAGGGGTGCTCCCAAGGGTCTGAAACCCTGACCCTGTTTAGGACAAAAGCACTCTTACTAAAAACCCTACCCTGCATAGGACAACACCCTCTATTTTAAGACCCTGTTTAGGACAAGAGACAAAATACACATTCTCTTGTTTTACAGGAATTTAAACTGTTTCATAAGCCATTCAAATCAGAGAAATCAAGTTTGATGCATCAAAAATCCAGTTATTGCCTTTCTACACTTAAACTATACAAAAGGCTGTCAAGCATTAAGCTCTTGCTTTTCCTGCTTTTTGGCCAATGGCATTTCACTTCGCTCAGGTGAAATAGGAAATAAAAACTTTACGGAGATCAAGGTATGCTCACTTTCTTGGCACTTCTGCAACAGACTCCTCCGACCTGACTGCTTTGCTCGCATACTTACTCTGGCATGCAGGATTCAAAGGTGATCCTGCTCACAGGCTTAACTCGTACAGATCATGTAATCATACCCTGTTTTGGACAGGTTCTGACCCTGTTTAGGAAAGAGGCCAGTAAAATTGTATACCCTTTTCAGGAGAGCAAGGTCAAAAAAACTTACCCTGTTCAGCAGAGCGTCCTTGTGTAGGCCAAATAAGTGAGTACCCCTCCCAGGGCCAGAAGTCACTTGATTGCATGCCTGGTGATTAAGTTATACATGCAATGGTCTTACAGCTGCATGTATTCTTTACTGATAGAATACTGACTAAATAAGCCAACAATAATGGAATTATAGAGATGTGGCCCCAGGGAGGGTATTCAGTCACAAGTAGGGGCAAGAGTGTTAGGTAAGATCAGATCCCCAAAATATCCGGCAGCCTAGAATGTGACCCAGTAAAAGTTCCTGTTTTCTCTGTATAAAAATACACAAGCAAAAAAACAGACATCAACAGAATTACAGACAGTTTTTGGATACACCTTTCTCTCTTCATCATGCATCTGTCACAAACTATTTAAAATGTTTTCAGATGAATGAGATTGCAGCCATTCTTTGAAAGTGAAAGAGTCACCTTACCATCAACATCTAGCTTATGTTTTTAAATGAAACTGATGCAATTGCCTCACACGAAAATGAGAACCCTGGGTTGGTATGCTTTTTGTTGAAACCTTGAAAAGCCCTAACCAAAATCTTTCACCTTGGAAGTCACAACAAAATTTCGAAGTTCGTACATAAGGTACAAGCTTGCTCTTTTTCAGGTGCCGGAGCTAGCGGTGGCTGGGTGGTTTCAAACAGAATTGTGATGTCTTTCCGCAGAGCTCAGATAGATTCCACTATCACAAACCTCAATCAGTCATCAGGTTAGTGACAAGTGCTGAAGAGTTGATACACAACTTCCTGAAGAAAAAACTGATGGTAAAGTGTATCTCACCCAGAAATATAATGATATGAAGGGCTGACAAGATAGGCAACAAGTGGAGGGTGACAATAATTTTTTTGATAGTGTAAACCCAAAAGAATTACCATTTGCTATACCTCCCAACTCAAATACTCAACTCAAATTGGAGGAGAATATGTCATGTCTATTGTGTCCTGGGTCAAAACTCACTAACACCCAAGGGCGAACAAAACTTGCTAACTCCTTAGGGAAACAACAACTTAAGGTTACTGTAGGCCTTCAAGGGCCTATTTTGTCCAAAAATATTTTTCTACACCAAATTCAAGACTTTTACTTTATCTGAATTTTCCGAAAAAAAAATTATTTAAAAAACTTAAAACGCGAACGAGTTATCCATAACAACGTAAATTCTTAAAATTAGTCAATGAACCGCAAACTGTGAGAAGCCAATTAAAATGTGTCAACCTTTGAGTTGAGCAGTAACAATTTTCACAGCAAGTGATCTCATCCGCGGAGTCGTATTTCGCTTCTTTTGTTTATCCCTTAGGTCTTACAATTTCTCGCAGAGAAATCTTCGCTTTTGTTGATTGTTTTCGTCTCTTAAGAGATAGACTAGGCGCTTNCTCATCCGCGGAGTCGTATTTCGCTTCTTTTGTTTATCCCTTAGGTCTTGCAATTTCTCGCAGAGAAATCTTCGCTTTTGTTGATTGTTTTCGTCTCTTAAGAGATAGACTAGGCGCTTCGCATTCCCACATTTGAACACAAGTGTAAATCGCAAGCGCATGTTTCGTTGATGCCCTGCTCTAGCTTCTTCTGGCACAAAAGTTGATTGCCGTGGAATTACCGACAAATTTAGTCGCTGATATCTGACATTCACAAAGCAGCTTCTCCAAACGCTCCTTTCCCCTGCTTTATAGAGTGTTTTTCCATATTCTACTAAAACAAACAGGCCGATGAATTGGGCATTTGGTTTTTGTTTTAAATGTTTAAGGCTATTCTGCTGGCATTCCTCTTTTTCCCTTTTCCTTCTTTACCATTTATCTGCTGATTCTTTTTAGATGCTGAATGTTTCATGGCAGATGATGTAAGATATAAAGATATACTGTAAATGTAAACATTGCATATTCATTCCCGGGAAGCGTTACTGTAGCTCATTGGGAAGTTTAAAGCTGCATTTCATTGGTTGGCGGCATGGCCACGTTGACAACTGCTTCAGTGAGGTGCAAAAACTGTGAATTTCTTTCGAGGCTGAAAACTCAAGGTTTATTTTTGTGTGAATTACCTCTATTCAAATCAGATATTAGTGCACCTCGGGTGTGTCAGGCTTTTGTGAAAATCAAAATATTTTTCCTGAGACGTCCCATTGAGTAACAACAGTCAGAAAATTTTCTATTGTCCAACTTTGAAAGAGATTTTCTAAGCAACCAATAGAAACATCGAAAAAGCCTCACACCCTTTGTTAGCCCATCATCTCCTGATTGATAATGTCCAGTCAGTTTGGATGTCTGCGGTAACACAAAGGCTGGTAATTCAGTTTAGTGAGTATGGTCATTTTTGCATTTTTAGGCTTGTGCGTGCCTATCAAAACAAAAATACAAAAATGTATTGTTATTTTTGGATTCTACAGTTTATTATCTTTTCCATGATATATAGTTTGCCGAGGTTTTCTTTAAAGCAGCACGTAAAGAGAGCATTTTCCGGAAGGCACCCCTGAAGGTCTACAGTAACCTTAAACTTCTGACTCGCATGTGATCAGGTTGTGCACCTTGAAACCATGGCAAATGTTTGCCAGTCAGCATCAAGCAACAAAACACTTAATGACTGGCCCTATGGGAAACTGTGAGTTTTGTTGCCCCTTGACCCTCAGTGTTTCCCTCGGCTTCACCTTAGGGAACATTGAGGGACTCAGGAAACAAAACTCACTGTTTCCTGAGTCCCTCAATGTTTCTCATCACCTTTTTCAGACATATACATTTTATCAAAATTAATACATTTACCTTCACGAATCAAATAAATGATTGAGATGCAACTGTTTGATCAGGAACTCTCCTTGTCAGGTCATGAATAAAATTACTCATTTGCACAAATCATTAAATCAAAAATTATTTTCTCCGATGGAATCTAGTGGACAGTACTGGACATGGATGTTTCAGACTGGACTTTCAGTTTTGATCATCTTTGCCTAGGGGTGGGCAGAACTGCCCCCCCCCCACCCATCCCCCTTGTAAGTTCAAAAACATAGTAAGTAAATATATTGAAACTTGGAGGGTATATAGTATGTCCAAAAAGGTTTCCTTTGCGTTAAATAAGAATCGAGGTCATTTTGATCATTGAGTTATTGGTTCCTGAAACTTTACACTGTCATGTTACTTTTAGATGTGAAACCACGTTAATTAAAGTGGCTTGATGACAATAATAAGACATTTTTGTCTAATTAATTTTTTCCTTTTCTTCACAGAAATGGAAGACAATAGTACACCCCCATCACTTCCAGAATCAAAGTTTGGAGACAAAAACTTTATCAAGGAATAATAATTATTACTACCTTATGGTTGTAATTCACGTTTATCTGAAATGGGTTGTTTTCACATTCATCTTAAGACTCTGAGTGTCACTAAACTGAGTTACAGGAACACTGTCTGGCCACTATGGTACTTGATTGGACAGAGATATCAAGACTGGAGGATTTTAATGCTCACCATTGGCTTCTGTTCCCCAGACCACTTCTGCTCATGTAATATTCAGTGTTTGTAGGCACACCTCTAAAAGGCAGATAGAACATCCCAATCAAAGAAAAGAATTATTTGGACTTTGCCAGAACTTATGTCTTCAGCTTCACTGAGAAGAGATCTGTGAATGAGTTTTTATCAGACTGAGCCAAGTCTGTACAAAATGGTTCCCATGCTTATGATGTGGCTGTGTGTAAAAACTGGGCTCCTTTATATGAGTATTAGTTTGTTTTCCCATCCAGTAGATTCAGAAAATTGGTGCTACCCCATGCACAATAATGATAGATTTTACTTCTTTCCTAAGACATATCAGTGGTGTGAGTTTATGAGAACTGGAAATTGCTGTGGAATCATGAGCTATAGTGTTTGCTAGGCTGTCAGTTCAAGCCTTCTCCAACTGTTACAGTTCTTTTGTAAAATATTACATTGTAACAATGTCATATTTTGCAGAGTGATAGACGCAGCTCTCAACCAATCAAAGTTTGCATAATTTTTATATTGGCTATTTTCTTGGATATTTAATTATGTGGACTTTTTGCCCTCTTTACTGTATTTGTTTTCCTTCAGAATTTAATAAAAACAAGAGTACCAAAGCATGTGTTTGTTTTGAATGTCGTGTTATTGTGTTTCTTCCTGCTAGCCCCCAAATAGGTGGGAGTAGTGAGTGCTGCTTTTTTCTTTCTATAATTTATTATCTTAGTAGTCTAGTCATTATACTGTGATATAAAGAAAGAAATGGCTGTGGACAGGCTAGTATTTTATTGATAAAATTATTTAATCAACCAGTGCGGTATGCCTCCGTACCCCCACCCAACAATCTGTCTTTGCAAAATGTCCACTGTGGCTTATGCTGGGGATCTGATTCTACCATCTCCTCTGCTTCTGGGATCCTACTTTTTCCTGCCCTACTTGATATCACAGTTAAAACTGGAACAGAGCATCAGACTTATTGTCTGGTGTATTGTTGTTAGATCTGGCTCGTGATAAAATCAAGGAAGTTGTGTATGGGCGCGACGAGGGTGCGAGCTCTTTAGAAATGACGTACTATATATATCAATAAATCTCACTTCCGGTATGTGTTCCGCTAAGGATCATGGGAAGGATTGAACTTGAAGCTCTGATCTAGGAAGTGCAAATGACGAGCTTGGGTGCCTTCGGGTTTCCGTCATCCAGCTGCATTGAAGACAAAATTCTGAGACATTTGGGGAGTCTGTTTATGCAAAGCTGGTCTCCTCTCCTTCCTGTTCGTATGTGACGCTGTTTTCGAGCGGGCGCGAAGGTTCAATTGAATTGAAGATAACTTGCAGTGAAGGTATGTGATGTGTAAACAAGTTGAGCTTGATTTGTGCCACGCTTACATTGAAGCTCATTGAGGACGATTTATTCTGCTCAGCTCAGAATGCTCACAATTCACGACGTCTTAATGCCTTGAGGGTTTCAATTAACTGGCAGAGAAATGAATGTCGAATTTATGTTTTTCGTGCGTTCTGAACTTAGATTTTTCACTCCTGCTGTGTTGTTGGTCGGCCAGCTTGTCTATTTGTCTGTTGTGAAGTATTTCAAAGTAAATAATGGGGATTATGTTCTCTCGAATTCGATGAGCTGCTGGACTTGAAAACAAAACAATGCCCCCTCTGATATTGTTGTAAAATTTTCGTTTCGCACAAAGGACTGCGAGTTCAAAGGCATGAATTGTTCTTTTGCAGGTTACCGGTATATTGCGCGCTTTTATTTTTAACACGACCGCATTCGATCGGAAATACTTTACGTGTATGTTGGCTGTGGAAGAATTTTCCTGAGTCGTATTTGCTTTGTAACTTTTTTGTTTCTCGAGCGAAAAAAGGAGATTAAAGAGTTAATTAAGACACCATAAAAAGCATACTGTACATACGTCTTTATTTGGAAAAACTCGTGCAAAAGTGAGTTGACGTTTGCGTGTTGCATGTGAAGAATGGGTCCAGTCTCGGCGGCCTCTTAACCGCGTAAAAAATGCCTTTTTCCTGTTAAGGACGTGTATATTTGCTGTAGCAGTTGTCACACTGGATTTATATTTGTCGATTTACTTTGAACGTAGCTTTATCCACGATTAAACAGGTTTAATCTAGATTTTAAATCGAGAAGGGCAGCTTATTTCGCACGTAAATCAATAATCGCTACGGGAGAGCGAGAAACACGTAACAAAATTTGAGGTACAGCTGTAACTGGAAAGAAATTTCGTTGATCTGTGCCGCCAGCCTGTGTGGAAAAATGTTATTTTTTTTTCCGTGTAAAACCAAAGAAGTCAGTGGTATTAAACTTATAGTTCTTTCAGTAATAAGACGAAGAGGTTAAGAAAGGTCGAATGGGATTTCATGGCGATTGATAAAATTACTTGGTTTACAATAGAATTTGCTTGTTCCCCGTCTCACCCACAACACAATGACAACGATCCACTCGATAACAATAGTAAGGTTTTTACTCCCGTAAAAGGAAAACATTGCAAAAGGAAAGCTTAGTAATTTTACACGTCGAGTTTACTCATGTTCATTATTTCAGCATTCAAATTGTGGTGACAACCGGGTGACATGACTTTCTCAGCTCTTACAGTCATTATTTGGCAAAGTCCAGCCCCCCATTGGTTATGTAGTCAGTTCTTCCCACCTGTCCAGCTCAGAAATGACAAAAAGTTTGTCAGAAATTAAGTTTTGCTATTATGGCAAGATCTCTTCATTGTGTAACTTGGGGATTGTCACAACCTTGATGACTTTATTTAGTTACTATTTTCTTAGGTTGTATCAAATTATTTTAAAGCTTAAAGTGACGCCATCTTTGTTACACAGTGGTCAAATGGCTTGTTTGCAGTGTCCCGCCATCAAAAATAAAACTCATAACCATTCAATAAATTAAGTCAAGAAGCTGGGATATGAAAGATGATTGATATATAAACAACCTCACCAAGATTTAGTTCTGTGTAGTTTTTCATTCTTCCGTTATTTGGAGAAGTGTTTTACTCAAATTTATAGAGCTTTGTATGAAGTCGCCATGTTTGTGCCCCACGGAAAGACACAAACATGGCGGCCGTAAAGTAACTGAAAATGAACGATTTATTCCATAAACGCAACAACATTTATAACAATATTCATCTGCTCTTTGACCTGAACGTCCAGCTCACGTTTTTTCGTTTACAACATGTCATCACTCGGACCTAGTCTCCACTCGGTAAATAGNCCAATCGTCGAAACTGTTTCTCCAAATCCAATATCCGGCTCGAAGGACCATGAAAATGAACGATTTATTCCATAAACGCAACAAAATTTATAACAATATTCATCTGCTCTTCGACCCGAATGTCCAGCTCACGTTTCTTCGTTTACAACATGTCATCACTCGGACCTAGTCTCCACTCGGTAAATAGGCAACGCGCCTTACACAAAATGAACACAAAATTTCAGTTTGGAACAAAACTAAATCAGACGTAACAAGAAGGTAAGAAAGGTGTAAGAAGACAGTCTGAGATATCAAACTTAAGTACGCCACAATCTCACTTCCAAATAGCTGTGATACACAAGATGTAGAGGAGACAGTTTGTAATGAATTCTCACCTTTTCATCTTTGAACTGTTGGCAAACACCATCTTCAACCTTGCATTTGTCTTTTAAAAAGTTGAAAATCTAAGGACAATGAAGCCAAATATAAGTTGCCATAGGTTCAACATTTCTAATTTGTACAAAAGACATGAAAAGTGTCAAAGTACCTGGTCAACCCTGGTAACTGTTCTTCTGGAGAATCCATGTTGTTTCTCGGCAATACAACCTGGCCTGCCGTCTCACGTGGCCCAGCTAGGTAGCCAGGCAGCTAAGTCGCAAGAAAGTAGCAGGGAAGTCGCAGCTAAGTCGCAAGAAAGTAGCAGCTAAGTCGCAAGAAAGTAGCAGCTAAGTCGTAAGAAAGTAGCAGGAAAGTCTCAGCTAAGTCGCAAGAAAGCAGCAAGTAGCAGGTAAGTCGCAAGAAAGTAGCAGGAAAGTCGCAGCTAAGTCACAAGAAAGTAGCAAGTCGCAAGAAAGTCGCAGCTAAGTCGCAAGAAANTTCTTCGTTTACAACATGTCATCACTCGGACCTAGTCTCCACTCGGTAAATAGGCAACGCGCCTTACACAAAATGAACACAAAATTTCAGTTCGGAACAATGGCTATTACAGACAAATTCCCAGTACAGAATTGGTATGTACCATCATCAGTTAGTAAATCTAACGTTGCAATTTCTGGGTCATATATTGTGTACCCAGCACCCTGAATGTCACGAACAATAAGCTTTCCCTCAGAGTTCTCATAAGTAAAGTGGACAAAGGCCTGTGCCTTGTCACAAACTGTACCCTTTTCACATACTTCACCATTATTGTTTATGTACTTAATAAAATCACCATCAATGTACTCTTCAATTGAAATGAACTCCCCACTGTCTGTCTTACCCATGAATACCTTTTTATATTCAAATGTTTGGCCAAACTCCATCAGCTGCTCTTTTTCAATTTGTTCCTTCAGTTGGGATGCAAAATTGTGGGTCAAGTAATGCATTTGCACTGACTTCTTTGTGTGATTTTCTTCAGTTTCTTGTGTTGTTTTAATTATTTCCGAGGCACTCCTGAGGTACTTCTTGACGACCCATGTCACTTCTTTGAATCCCTCTGTTATGCTAGTGGCCTTGAAAGCTTGTTGGAATCCACCAGAAGCGAATGGTGTCTAAGCTGCCAAGAATTCTGCCTCCACTGGTACATTGGACCATTGCATGTGTTCAAAATCAAACTTATAAATGATAATGACAGTGGAACTTTTCTTGGAGATGACTTTCCCTAGTTTTAGCATATCCTGGATGGACAAACTCCTNTGAGTAAAGTGGACAAAGGCCTGTGCCTTGTCACAAACTGTACCCTTTTCACATACTTCACCATTATTGTTTATGTACTTAATAAAATCACCGTCAATGTACTCTTCAATTGAAACGAACTCCCCACTGTCTGTCTTACCCATGAATACCTTTTTATATTCAAATGTTGGGCCAAACTCCATCAGCTGCTCTTTTTCAATTTGTTCCTTCAGTTGGGATGCAAAATTGCGGGCCAAGTAATGCATTTGCACTGACTTCTTTGTGTGACTTTCTTCAGTTTCTTGTGTTGCTTTAATTATTTCCGAGGCACTCCTGAGGTATTTCTTGACAACCCATGTCACTTCTTTGAATCTCTCTGTTATGCTAGTGGCCTTGAAAGCTTGTCGGAATCCACCAGAAGCGAATGGTGTCTCAGCTACCAAGAATTCTGCCTCCACTGGTACATTGGACCATTGCATGTGTTCAAAATCAAACTTATAGATGCTAATGATAGTGGAACTTTTCTTGGAGATGACTTTCCCAAGTTTTAGCATATCCTGGATGGACAAACTCCTAGGGTAAAATTTACTTGAGCAAACTTTTTTGGGGCTTGGTACTGACACAGCCTATTTTCTTGGATTGTCATCACACCTTGTTTTTTGGTCTTTAGCAAAAGTGAGAAAGAACAAAATTATAAGGTTATTACGAATGGCTTGCAACAATTCCAAGCAAATTCATTTTTCACCTCTTTTTTACCATATTCATCCTACCACCCCTTCTCCTAAAAAAAAGATCACTGTGGAAACTGATGCCCCTCCCCACCCCCCCCCCCCCCCCCCCCCCCCCCCCCCCC